ATGCTAAACAAACAGAAAAGGGTCATAAATGCCCCCAGATTACATACTGCTCTATTAACTTTGAATTTTCTAAATGCTAATGAGAAAGGAACAACAGCTGCAGAGAAACACTGGACAGTACAAAAAACTACAGAATTAAGTCAACCCGTACACTTTAAAGATGTACTGACCTCAGAATGGAAACCAAGACAAATGTTACATTGGGAAGGTGTTTTGCTTTTGTTTCCATGTGAATGAAAATCTATGGATACTATCAAAATTGATAAAGACTTAATTTGAACATGAGGCATCTTTAATTAAAAGAGATGAATACTCATCAAACACCATGGCTGTTTAATATAAAATAACATATAAAACTAATAAATGGCCGGGCGGTGGTGGCGCATGCCTTTAATCCCAGCACTTGGGAGGCAGAGGCAGGCGGATCTCTGTGAGTTCGAGACCAGCCTGGTCTACAAGAGCTAGTTCCAGGACAGGCTCCAAAACCACAGAGAAACCCTGTCTCGAAAACAAAAACAAAAAAAAAAAAACTAATAAATGCTTTTCATTTGATCAGATATAACTTGCCAAAACAGAATCTCCCCAAAATTAGGGTTAGGGAAGGGCTTTGTCTTTGTCTTTTCAGGAGAATAAAGGCATTCACCTAAGGAATCTGATGACCACTAGACAAATGACATATCTGAAGAAAAAGGACAAATGAGACAGAAAAAAAAAGTCCCAAGATAAAGAATAAATTGGCCTATTGGTATATCACATTACTAACAGGATAAACTTTCATAAATCTTCCAAAATGCTTGTTTTCTGCTGCAAATGGTCTCTTTGTAGTCTCAGTTCAGGTAAAGATAAAAGCTGGCTTTGGAGTTGGAGTGTGGCTCTCTCCTTCTCTAAACCCAAGCATGCTTATTAAAGTAAAACCAAAATCTCTATCCCATGTCAGAAGAGCCACCTGATATGGGGCAGAATAAAAACAAATATTTAAAGACAATTTTATTGTCACTAATTGCATAATCCTTTGGCCTTATACTGACTCTTTAAAAGTTTTTCTTAAGGTATAAAATATATAACATTAATATATATACATATATATTTATTCTAAACTTTTTATCATGATATTAATTGTCTTATACAGTACTAATTCTAGAAAAAGGTTTCATCTATCTTCCTGTACATGATTTGTGGTTTGAGTCTCATCACTTTTTTGCAGTGAACCATGAACAGGCCTAGCAGTGAACTTCAAAGTCTCCAAAAAGAGGATGGTGTCCCACAATGATTCCTCCAGGACTATGATAATACCACTTAGCTGAAAAACAACACCTAAGGATCAGCTTTGGACTACAAACTACTCAGAAGAATTTCAAGGTGGCTAGCTGAGATGATCCAGCCTCACAGACTACTCTAGGCAGGACTTGCGACAAACCCTGCATATTCCCACTATGCAGAGACTGTACAACAAATGATAATGTTACCTCTCCCAGGACTTGACAATTAATCCAAATTTTCTTTTCAGTATGTCCTAAAGATGCTGTGACCCCCAGATAGCAGGAAATAAATTTGAGAATATGATGCCCACATTCTCAAGAGGTAGTGTGGGTGGTTTTTGGTCATTCAATGGATTATAAATATTTGTCATTTTTTAGGGGAGTTGTTTATAATTTATTATTGGTTAGGGTCAGGAGGAAAGTTGAAGAAAGGAGATTAGATTCAGAGTTCTTTTTCTGAAAAAAAAAGAGGAATACAAATACAATAAGATAAAAGAGTAGATTATTGAATCTACTTTTTAAAAGCAACTACTAGTTTTAAATATTTTATATTGGATTGGAATTTTGTATATTGTATACAAATTTGTATATTAATACAAATTTAGGATTACTTTTGTTAAAACATACTGTACATAATACGCTTCTAATCTTGTTCAAGGTATTGTACCTATACAGCTCATTTAACAATAAGGCAAATTTCTACTTCTTGAAAGTTATTGTTACCAACTGTTTAGGATAATAAGTAAATGTAGGTTAGTAACTAGTCACCTATTACAACTAAACTTGTAGTTATATTAGATATGTTTTCAAGGTCAAACAGAGATATACTGTAAATAGACAGATCATTTTCACATATTTCAGAGATCTACCAAATATGACATTTAAGATATCTTAATAACATAGGTTCCTTTTTATGACAATGTGGCATATCTGCTCCTAGTAGCACCAGTCTACTTCAAAGAAGATGATGGGCACTGTAGAAACTCCACATAGAGCTTACTTTCTTTGTGGCAAAAGTAAGCCATTGAGCAAGAAAAAGCCCTTACCTCAGCTTCTGATAGTATGCTTTCCTAATTGGACAAGCAGGACACAAAAGAGAATGACTGCCAAAACTTGACAAGACAAGGCAAGACAGCCCTTCAGAATATCCTGCTTCATAGAAAAGTCTGTCAAATATTCTAGGCCTTTAGGCTGAAGATGAATGCCCCAACATTGCAGAGGAACTTTGAGTGACTCCCCCAGGCAGTCAGCTGTTTCTACATTCTCACATTTTTTTTGGAAGTTGTTAGCTTGCATTTTCTGCTTACTCAGTTAACACTATTTCCTTCTTGGGTCTCTGAGGTAGTTGAAGGCTACATAGTATAGTTTCCCTTTTTTATGAGACTCAGAAAAGAAATTCACCAAAGAAGTGTAAAGTGTATAAGTTTGAGAGATATCAAAAGATAGTTTTGGGTGGCAATGCAAGTTATGATAGAAAGTAAATTAGGTACAAGTCTTTGGACTCACCAAGATAGGATAGATAATGGGAGTATTTTCTCTGAATTTGTCAAAGGAAAATGAACTAGACATTATTGATGTACTTACTGCCTGTATATATTGTATATAGTTACTGTACTTATTGTATGTAGTTTTTTTGTATTAGTTATAGCCTTCCTTTTTATTTTAGACCAAAAGGGGAAATATAGTGATACTTTATTTTTTTTAATAAATAAAGCTTGCCTAAATATCAGAATGCAAAGCAGCCATCCTAGTCATCCACACACGTCAGGCAGTAGTGGCACACATCTTTAATACCAGCAGCCACACTAGTTAGCCATAGAGGCTGGGTGGCAGTGGTACATGCCTTTAATCCCAGTACTAGAGAGGAATATAAGACAGGAGGAGACAGGAGCTCAGGGTCTCAGTTTCAGTCTGAGGTTTTGTGAAGAGCAATATAATCTGAGGTTCAGTTTATCACCCCTCTGATCTGAGCACTGGTAAGAGATGAGAGCTCTCGAGAGACTTGGCTGCTTTTCTTCTCTAATCTTTCAGCTTGAAACGCAATATCTGTGTATGGGCTTTTACTATTCATGCTATAAAATATATAATATATATTAAATAAAACTAAGGAAGACAAATACATTTTTCCCACATGTGTTATACATAAACATATACACACATGAACACACAAATACATAACAAGTATTAAAGGATCAATTGGGAGGAAAGGGTATAAGTCAAAAATAGAGATGCCATGTGTTGTTTCATAAGTTAACCTAACTTTATATACATACATAAATGTATGGATATACATATATACATAAACTATAACATCAGCATAAGCCTGCAACCATCTATTTATATATAATCTTGAATAAAGCTTTGTGAGATGTTTTTTAATAGAGAAAATTTAAAAACAGAGGATAGAAGAATGAGTTCTAGGATTCAGGAAGCAGGGAGAGTGTCATGGGGATATAAATATGGGTATAAAAAGACATCAAGCCGGATCAAGCTGGGCAGTGGTGGCACACGCCTTTAATCCCAGCACTCAGGAGGCAGAGGCGGGTGCATCTTTGTGAGTTCAAGGCTAACCTGGTCTACAAGAACTAGTTCTAAAACAGGCTCCAAAGTTACAGAGAAACCCTGTCTCAAGAAAACAAAACAAAACAGACATCAAAGATCCAGTTTGAAGCTGTTCTTTGTTTTTACTATAGTGGTGGATACATGACACTACCCCAAACTGTAACTGTATATAGTCTGTCACACAGAAATGGATATAAATGAATGTGAAAAGACAGATAAATCATGGGATTACACCACTATCAATATCCATAAATTATGACATTATATATAGACTGTATATCTATACCTTACTGTTCTTGTAAAGATAAACTTTAAGCTATAACCACGTCCACAGGTTTACACTAAAATGCTCAAAAAATTGATGCTGAATTGTACTAGGGGTTTTAAAATATGACCACAAATCCTATAACACACATTGCATAGAACAATGTATGAGCAAAAAAAAAAAAAGAAAAATCCTTCATAAGATTCTGACAAATATAATACTGATGTGTTTGCTAAACATACTAGTCAAAATTTAAGTCATTCATAGTAAAATCCAGCAATGAAAAGTAGAAGAGAACATCATTCTACTAAAAAGAAAATGTACAGCTGCTCCAAGACTTGACTGCTGAAGACTAAATGCTTTAAGTCTAGAGACAAAACATCTCCAGTCTCATCACGTCTGTTCAGCTTTGTACTGACTCTAGCCATTCAGATTAGGTCAGCTAAATGAGTAAAGACTTAAGAGAAACATGTAACTGTATACCTGTGGACAATATGATGACTGCACAAAAATACTAAATATCTATGAAATAACTATTCTAACAAGTGAGTAGCAAAATACCACTATATAAGGTCAATATGTAAACATCTATGGAAACTGAAACAACTGGAAGAATTACAGCCATGATTTCTCCTTAATATAAACTAGCCATATGAAATAAGGCCAAATAAATGAAAAACCATTCTTTAGATAACCAGTTACACGATATTAAATATAAAGTAATTTGTCAAATTTCAATTATATTGATTTCTTATTTTGTAATGGGTGAAGTTTTACTTCATTATTGGAAGCCCTTACTGTGGGCCTCTATGTATTTTCCAAATAGCTAAAACAAAGACTAATTATGATGAATCTTTAAACACTGGGCATTTCCATTCAATTTTTTTCTTCATTTCCACCAGATCATAACATACCTTAGATAATCTTTTGGAAGATTCACAATTATGGTCTGTACATGGCTTGGGTCCTTTTTCAGTGTCTATAGATGAAACTGAGAAAATATATTATATTTTATATTTGTTCTGATATACTATACCAAGCTACTTAAATTTTGAAAAATAAAATATCACTTGTCAACTACATCTCTCCCAGGATAAAAGGCTGGATTTTCTAATGCTAAGTATTTCAGCAAAATCCTAAGTCAAATATTTCTTTATATAAATCATAAAATGTTCATTTCTACAATCATATTAGGAATTAAGTAACTGATGCTGGGATATTTTAATTTTACAGAATTATATCAACTTTTACAATGTATTATAACCATATATATATTATATATGTATAATATATATATATATATACACACACATACAACCATTCTCTGTCAACCTCCATTCATATATATTGGGTATCACTACCCTAATTCAATGCTCATTGTGGAAGTACAAATTAAAAAAAGGAAAGATAAACTGTAATAAAAATATTAGATATGCTATGAGACTGGACTATGGTTGTGGCCATTTTAACCAATATAATAAGCATGGTCATGCATATAGGTACATTTTTATTTATGCACATATAGGAGAAACTATATGGAAACTATAATTCTATTTATTTGCGATAAACAAGTGAGCATTAGGAAAACTCAATGGGCAAAGGAATATTGGACTGATGAGCATCTCTCCAAGGTCACTGAGGAAATTCCTGCTGTACTAAGACTTCAATCTGAAATCTTGGGTAAGAAACAGGCTCTATAAGAATTTACAATAGCTAATCCTTACAGAGTAGAATGTCACCTCATACCCAAACACCTTTGTTAATTCCCACTACCAATAAAAATATATGAAATACTCTTACTTGTAACCTCAGATCTATAATTAATTCATAAACATAGTATTTAATATCTTAAGACTTTCATACTCTGCAAAAAAGGCTCTGCTTTGTCATTTTGGTCATTATTTACAACTAAGAGAATATAATGAAAACTGTACTTCAGTTTTCAAATTAAAATTACTTATAAAATAGTTAATATTATTTCTGGTAATTTTCCATAAATACTACTTGCATCCTTTGGCTATTCTAGACTATTTTCTAATAAATCATATGTCATCTGTATGCATGTTATTAATTGGCTCATTTTCCCAACAATCCTTCAAACAGAAATAATTTTCCAATGGAATTGTGTAATTGCTCACATATTTACTAACCCTAATGTCCCTGAGAAGTGATAGGTTACCTGAAAGAGCACAGATTCTAAACTCTGAGGACAATTTTTAATATGCTCAAAGAGCTGAAGGAAATTATGGATGAATGAATAAAGAAAACAGAACAGTTTGTCATGACAAGAATATTAATAACATAAAAATAAATTATGAACTTGTCATTCAATAGCTCTAATGAATAGAATTATAACTGAGAGAAATTCACTAAAAGATTAAAACAACATATTTGAGCAGTCTGGAGAAATAATTAGAGAACTTAAAGATATGTCACTAAAATCTGACCAAAAGAAAAGAAAAACAAGTGAACAAAAGTGAAACAGGCATAAAGAATCATGGGACAAGTTCACCAGCATACTCATAGGACATGAGGGGAGGAAGGAGAGATGCAACATTCAAATATTTGAGTAAATAATGGCCAAACTGCCTCAAATCTAACATGATATAAATTTTCACATGCATAGAGATGGAGCCTACATGTATACCGTGAAATATGCTATAATCAAACATCAGAAATGAAAGAGAAAGAGATAATTCAGAAAGGACCAAGGACAATTAATGTGCCACATATAGGGGCTATACAATACTAAACAAAATAGGAATTATCATTTGATTTTTAAGGCCAGAGTATAAATTTCCATAGAGGCCTATCTTAAAAATAAGGATACACATAGAACATAGGGAAAAGAAAAGGTTCATTGCAGTTAACATGAATACAAAAGAAGCTAGAAATATGGTGTTTCTTTCATGCAAAATAGAAATCAGAATAAGGAAAAATATTATACCTGATTTCAAGGAACAATACGGTCATCACATAATGAAAGTAGGATCAATCTTTACAAAGGTTTAAGAATCCCTGTTATCTATGTCTTGAGTAAAGGTATTTGACAGTTGGATACAGTGGAGACCCAAGTTCAGAACCCCTGTACTCAGATGACAACAGCGAGGGCTGGGGTGGTGACAATGACATGTATTGCATGTACATGACCTCTGTAACTGCAGAACTCATGTACAGAGGAAGACAGGTCCTGACAAGTCGAACTAGTACAGACAGCAAAGTGCACATATAAGGAGAGAGCCCATGTCAAAAGTAGATTGCAGAGTGACAGAGGATGATACCCAAGGCCAATCTCTAGCCTTGCATGTACACATGAAACAAACAAACAAACACAGACACAGACACACAATTTGAGGACAAAACTTTTAGAACTGTTAGAAAAATAACAAAATCTACTATTATCTCTCAATATTCCTCTATAAGTAATAGAAAAACAAAAAAAAACAGAATATAAACTATACATAGAGCTAACTCACAGAGCATCTTTTAATAACTGAACAAATAATACTTAGAGACATTGTCATGTAGTAACGCAGAACACATGTTATTCTCAAACTCATATGAAGCATTTAAAATGAACCTACTCTATTTGAGTCATAAAATGCAGTTTGAAATATTAAAAACTAGAGACATGAGCAAGGAAGTCAAGCCCGCGAGGGGACACCCACCCACTGAGACGGTGGGGCTGATCTATTAGGAGCTCACCAAGGCCAGCTGGACAGGGACTGAAAAAGCATGGAATAAAACCGAACTCTGAACATGGAGGACAATAAGGGCTAACTGCTCTTTGGACTGGAGAGGAAGGGGAGGGGAGTGGGGCGTGGGGAGTGGGGGGAGGGAAAAGGGAGGCGGGGAGGAGGCAGAAATTTTTAATAAAAAAAACTAGAAAGCATGCAAATTATGCATCCAGTTCAAAAAATAAGCTAGAAATCAGTAAGAGAGAAGCAGATTGAAAATCCTGAAATATTTGGACATAGAGAAACACATTAATGTATAATATATGAAATATCAAAAAGTAAATAATTTAACTTAATAAAAGTAAAATAAACTTACCAAACTCTGTAACATAAGGTAAAAAGTAAAAAGAAATTTATAGTAAAAAATATAGGTTATTCATACCATTGAGAACAAATATTAAAAAAGACATTGGGGATAGCAAATGGCTCAGTAGGTAAAGGAAGCAACCTGAGACCTGAGTTTGCTCCCAGGATCTATAGAGATGTAGAACAAGAGTACCAACCCCACAAAGAGGTCCTCTGGCCTCTATATGTGCACATATGCCCACATCAAATATACTGATGTACGATAATAACAATGAATACATTTTTAGACAAAAGAAAGATTGATTCAATCAATAGAAACTTGCATATAGGAAATTGGAAAAATTAAGCAGATTTGGTTAAAAGAAGAAGAAACAATATACCAAATTAGAGTAGATATCATTGAGATGGTGACTAGGGGACTGGAGAAATGGCACAGAGATTAAGAGCAATTGCTGCTTTTCTAGAAGATCTGAGTTCAGTTGTGTATATTGGCACTAGGTCCACACAGTCAAGCTCTTCTAACAGTCAACTGTGGGTAGGGACCGGGCTCATTACCAGTACTAATAACTCGAGGTTTATCAATGGATTCCCGCAGACAGAGAAGCATAGTTTCTAGTTGTATGGCTGCTAGTGAGCACATCTAACTGAAAAGGATAGCTCCAAACCCAGGATCACACAGATAGCCCTAGTTGAACTCTGCTAGTCACAGAACAGAAGTTAATTAACATGAGGAAAAACTCCATAAGGAATAATAGGGGCTAGCAGAGGTAAGACGAAAATAAGGGAGGGTTGGGGGAAGAGTAAACAAAATACACTACACGTGCATATAAATATGTCAAAGAAGAAAATTTATAAGTAAAAAAACCTTACCAACACTTACAATATATCCCCAAAATGGATGTATTTACTCCAGAATAAATTAATGCATTAGGGATTATTTATCTGATGATATCTCACTATGAACTATTTACCTTGATACAAAACTCAGATAAATACATTACAAAAGAGGAAAACTTCGGACCAATAAGTCTGCTGAACATATATGCAAAATATTTCAACAATATAAAATCAAATCCAACAATATATCAAAAGAACAATCTGAGGTAATCCATCAGAATTTAGACCAGGCCCCACATGACAATGAAAGGGAAGCCATCCTAAGAGCACACCACTAAGGAAAACGGAGAGGGAGAGCACTGCATGAGCCCAATTTCATTCTTGTTAAAGAGCAGTAACTATGACTGTGTCAAATTTCTTCAGCTAGATAAAGAACTTCTGCAACAAACTGCAGTCACCACCATAGTTGAGACCGAATAATCAGAGGGCTTCATGAAGGAACAGGGCAAATGCGTTCTCTCTCACCACCCGTCATGATTCTAGGACTTTAACTAGTGCAATAAACTGAGCAACAAGATTACAAAGGAGGGCAGACTGCATCCAGACAGGACCCACTACAGTATCTTCAGCACAGCCGAGCCGCTGGAGAACAAACATCCAATGAAGCTAGTGCTCAGAGAAAAGCATTCCTTTCAGCAGCAGAGAAAGAAAGCAGAACAGCAGAGTACAGGGTCACTTCCAGAGCCTTGTTAACACTGACGGTGCAATCATAATGTCAGAACAATGACTATGGACAGAGCTCTCAGAGGGCCCTCACCATAGTCTGATGAACATATTTACATAAAGGTGGGCAGGGGAGGAGAAGGGAATGGTGAGGAGACAAGGCATGAGAGCTGCTCTACCAGAGAATTAGTACTAGGGAAATCCTGTTATTGCTACTCCACCAGATCAGTGACACAGTGAGAAAAAAAAAAGGCATTTTTTGTTTGTCTGTTTGTTTTGTTTTGGTGTGGTTTGGTTTTTTGAGACAGGGTTTCTCTATAGCTTTGGAGCCTGTCTTGGAACTAGTCTTGTAGACCAGGCTGGCCTTGAACTCACAAAGATTTGCCTGCCTCTGCATTTTGAGTGCTGGGATTAAAGGTGTGCACCACCACCCAGAAAAAAAAAAAAAAAAGCATTCTTAAAGGACTCTGTAGACTCAGTGGCTGCACAGCTAGCTATACAGACAAAGGGAGCAGACTGCAAGGCTCATGCTGGAAACTCAGAGCAAACCTGTCCCAGGACTATAGTCTGAGGCCTGGCCTTCAGAATACTTGTAAATAGAGAAGGAAACTTTGTGATTTTGAGTGAGAATTAATCCAGTGTTCCATGAGAAGGATATCTGGCCTGAGACACAGAACAAAGTAGACCATTTAGAGGCAGATCTGGAACCCAATCCTGCCCCTTTGAAAGACTCCAAATAGACAGGACCAACAACCATAATCTGTCCTTACCCCCACAAAGGACTACTTGGAGGCAGCTCATCTACCCAGGTCCCAACCCCATGCCGACTGTGAACTTCATACTGGTAGGTTTGGCATACACACCGCACCCCCATGAAACCACCCAAAACTGTTAAGAATCAAGCCTAGCTTCCATGGTCAGTTACAAAATTACAGACAGATCGCACCTCTACCCAGATTTCTTTTCTTCTTTTTGTATTTACCTTATGGAGTGCTACTCAGCAGAACAGATCTACCATATCATATCCTCTTTGCTCTTTTTCAAAGTTTTCTCAAGAACATTGGTTGCCCCAGAGTGGACTGTCTGCATATCTCAGCCAGCCTCTCGAGCTCTGGGGTTGTTTTGGGGTTCCAGATTTCATTTTTGACACCTGTCTCTCTTTATTTTCCTTTAGCTGGAGCTGCTAAATCTCCTCTCTACTTTTATTGCTTACTTTCCCCTCTTCACCTATTGCTCTAGTGCTAATCAATCAGGAGTCTTGGCTTATTCCCTTTCCATCTCTACTCTTAGTAACTAGCATACAAGTATACACTATACTGCCCTTGCTCCTTACTCCTCTAAAGTAACTGCAACTGAAGGGGTGTTTGTATTTAATTCACCGGTGCTCTGTTTTCATAGCTGGCATATCTAGCAGTTGTGGCTTCTGTTGCAGACAGCATTCTACTTTTTAGGTGATTTTTGAGATCAACCCAGGTGCCCTAGCAGGAGCCAAGAGTTTAGCTGAGTTTTACTCTGAGGCCAGTGGGGAGCAATGATACTTCAATCTATTACAGTTAGTCCTCCTACCCCAAACACTGAAAATACTTGCAATGAAAGAATATATGTGATAAGAGAGACAAAATCAGCCCGAAGATCAAATCCCGCATGTACAAGTTCTAATGCAGAAACATAAGGATTATGAAAACTAAAGCAGCATGACCCCTCCAAACACGTTTACTTCTATAGCAGCAGAATAAAGTGAGAGAATTTGAAAAAAAAAAAAAGAATTCTCTAGAACTATTCTAAGACTATTAAAAAAATCAAAAAAGTCACCAGTAAACTGTATGAATTCACTGAGAATACCAACAGCTAAAAGTAATAACTAAACTGATGCAGGACATAAATGGGGATTTCAATAAAGAAACAGAAAAAAGAAAAATGAAGTTGAAATTTTAAAAATTAAAAAGTTCAGTAGGTCAAATTAAAAAAATTAATGGAACACCTGATCAATAGATCAAACATAATTCAGAACATCAGAGCTTGAAGACAAAGGAAGACACAAATAATGGAACAATAACAACTATAAAATAATAAAGTATACCATAATATATAATATCTGTGACTGATTTTGCTTAATATGAAGTCCAATTGCAATAATTTTACATAAAATGACATGATTTCATTCTTCTTTATGATTTCATAACCCTTCATATATCAAAGGCATAAAGTCAAACCCAGACCTCACTATTTACAGAAATTAGCTCAAAATGCATCTTAATGTAAACAGGAACAAAAAGGACTAAAAGGAAACAGTCCTTAATGACCTCAGGTTTCTAAACACAACATTAAAAGCACAAAAAGAAAGAAAAAATCCCCACAATCTAAAAGGTAAAAAGGAATCAGAGTTAACAATTTTCCAAAAAGATAAATGAATGACCACTTAACACATTAAAAAAAAATACTGCAAAGTATCAGTCATTTGAGGACACAGAGAGCTGGCTCACAACTGCAACATTTACCCTGGATCTCATCTTATAAATTTTCTAAGAGTTTGTCCACGTAATGAAAACAATCGGGAAACAAAGATTCACAAAGCCTCCACATACAACTAGCATGTCCTTGACAGGATAAGCAATGCTTATGCTGACCGTCTGCCTTGAGGTTGGTGAAAACCAATGAGATTTCCCTGGAGAAGAGAAAAGCAAGAATTACACAAGATAAGAGTTTATCTTGCTCCTGCCTTTGAAGTTCCATGCCTTGCTACAGTCTCTGCCAAAATTAAATTTTACACAACAAATAAAGGAGAAAGAGGCATAAACGAGGAGGAGAAGAACATCCTCTAAGTGGGCATGGATGATTGCTCCTGAGACAGTTCCTCCTCTCTCCAGCACTAATGACAACACATGAAATGGGATGAGGTGTCTGAAATGTTCACCACGTTACAAGCAAACGCTTCCACTGACTCATCACTATAACTAAACACTACAGACCCTTACTCTGACTTCCACTCAACAGTGAAGTGACACAGCACACTTTTCACTAATGGCATGAATCAGCAGGATTTTATTTGGAGGCATTTTAGCATTAAGTCAAACTCGAGATGAAGATATAAATACAATTACATTTGTAACATTCATATTCTAAACAGTCGGTTTGGAAACAGTTGTTTCCAAATTGTCTTTTTTAAAAGTATTTTGTATATTTACCTGAAAATGTGAAGAATAATTCATTTTGCAGACCAGCTCTCTGCATTTTAACACGGTGGCATTCAGATTTCAGCAAGGAAATCTCACAGGAAAGGTCAAGAACCAGTTTACTTAAAATCTGAAGAAGTTTCTTCTCAAAAGAAATGTTATAGATACTATTGCAGGGAGCCGCGTGGTACCGTGCTGTGAACTGGTAATAAAAATGAGGTTCACGATAAGCTACAAACATTAAAAAGAAAAGACAAAAACATCATCATTCAGGCAATTCAAGTGCATTGTGACTGTTTCAAATAAATAATTATTTGGAACAAATTCATATTTATTTCCTATAAACAGCTACATTTGCCTTCCTTAACAAATGCTTCCCTCATAGTAAGTCGGTATTAAATACTATCACAAGGATTCTAAAACGGTGATTCATTTAACCTTCGCCATCATTTAAGATTCACATTCTTACTATTGTATCTGGAACAAAGGAATCAGGACACAAGAATCTTGCTGTGTGTACTGCTGATGTTATTAAGGCAAATTTTCAAACCTAGGAAGGTTGGTCTTACTATACGACTGTTCAAATACTGGCATCATACCTTTTAAAATTTATATTTTAGAAGAAATCAAACTGTTCTATTTTAAAATATTAATTCTTAGATGATACTCTAGAGATATAATTAGCAACAATACTTTTTATAATATAATTCTAATAAATATATATAGTTAGTTTTAGTTAATTCCAGTACAATATCTGGAATTGAAGATACATATATTTAAATCAAATCTCAAAATCTTACTGGAAAGATACAATAAATCTAAAATGAAAATAAATCCCTAATTTAAAAAAAAATCACCTTGTGAAACAAGAGTTCTTTTGCTGCTTCTGGATCACATTTTGAGCAAGAGTCCTCTATTCATACTGACATCCCTCACCACTGCCCATTTTCCTACCTTTGCTTAAAAGTTAAGCACACTTACTACTCCCAAACTTAATGCCGAGGTTGGCAGCTTTTAATTGCAAAGAAACCTAGTAGTTTTCATTGACGAACAAATGAAAGCCAAAAATTACCAACACCCTAACTTCAAGAAAATATAAATCAGTATTTTTAATTTTTTTAGAAGAGCCTAAAAGAAAACTGATGTAGAAAGCATTAAAATGAATTTAATATTCTAAATATAATGATTAAAATGTAATCCATAAAACATGATGAGCTATAAGAAATGGTTTGAAAATAAGGAAAGTAACAGACAGGTACACTGGTTCAAACCTGCATTTCCAGCATTCACAAGAATAAAGCAGAAGGATTGTACCAGTCAGTAGGAAATTAAATTAGAGTAGATACAAATATTTAGATGATAGATAAACATATCAACAGTGAAGGATAAAATTAAAAGAATAATAGCAAACATTTATCTTTAACTATAATTACCAAAATAAATCTTTAAAAAATTAACTGCTAAGCCAAACAGTTTACAAAAATACTACTACAGTTAGCACAAGACAGGAGAGAGCAAGAACAGAAAGGCCAAGTCCCTTTCATCATGTATGCTTATGCTCACATGCTCTGAAAGGAACATGAACACCTCTTGGTCTGCCATTTTTCAGTCTATTAAGCAGGGTCACAGCAGTTTGATTAAACTTCTAAGTAACTGTGGTTTATGTTATTTTTTCTTTTATTTCATATCAAACCAGCCCTCTCAATTTTATTCCTCAGTAAAATAATCTAAGATGAGGGATACATAGTCTGCTTCCTGGTCCTAATAATGAGGATGCAGTGAACCATCAACCATGACACTAAGAACTGAAAAGCAACTATGACCACTGTTATCACTGTAATTTGAAAACATGGTTCTGTATATGGCTTTGCCTGGCTGACTAAAATGACTAAAAGGCTGCCCTGATAACCAGTCTGTCCCCTTGCTATTAAGACACACAACACAATTTGAGTGGGAATTCTTTTAATTAGAAAACTAAAAACAGCAAAGTTCTTCTTTTTTTAATCTTGTTACCTTTAATCCCAGCATTCAGGAGGCAGAGACAGGCAGATCTCGGTGAGTTTGAAGCCAGCCTGGTCTACAAGAACCAGTTCCAGGACAGGCTCCAAAGCTACAGAGAAACCCTGTATTGAAACACCAAAATAAAACCCAAAGACTTAGAAAATTTGTCTTTAAAAATAAAACTACCTTCTTAAATTCCTAATAGCAGAAATGGAAACACCTAGATGTACCTTAACAATAGACTAGGTAAAGAAAATGTGATACAGTAACATAATGAAGTATTACTTAGCCATTAAAAATGGCATCATGCTCATCTTTATGGGTCTGGCTTACCTCATTCAGGTTGTTTTTTTTTAATTCCATCCATTTGCATGCAGATTTCAAGATGTAATTGTTTTTACCAATGAGTAATACTCTAATGTGTAAATGTACCACATTTTCTTTATCCACTCTTCTATTGAGGAACATCTAGGTTGTTTCCATGTTATGGCTATTATAAATAATGCTGCCATGAACATAGTTGAATGAATGTTCTTGTAGTATGACTGAGTATCCTTCAGGTATATGCCCAAAAGTGGTACTGCTTGGTCCTAAGGTAGGCTGATTCCCAGTTTTCTGAGAAACCACCATACTGATTTCCAAAGTAATTACACAAGTTTGCATTCCCACCAGGAATGGAGAAGTGTTCCCCTTACTCTACAACCATATCCACCATAAGCTATCATTGGTGTTTTTGATCTTGTACTCACTCATAAGTGGATACTAGCTGTAAAGCAAAGGATATTGAGCCTTATAGTTCATGACCCTAGAGAAGCTAAGTAACAAGGTAAACCCTAAGAAAAAACACCTGGAAAGGGGAAATAGACGAGATCACCTGAAAAAGTTGGGAGCATTGGCAGGGGGAAATAGTGAGGGCAGAAGAGGGTAAGACAAGGGGAGAAAGGGAGGATGGAGGAGAACTTGAGGGAATGAGATAGTTGAGATGGAGGAAGGACAGAGATGAGAGCAAGGAAAGAGAGGTTTTGATTGAGGGACCCATTGTGGGGCTATCGAGAAACCTGGCACTAGGGAAATTCCCAGGAGTCCACAAAGATGACCCCAGCTAAGACTGTAAGCAAGAGAGAGTGCCTGAACTGGCCTAGCCCTGTAGTCAGACTGATGAATATCTTAAATATCACCATAGAACCTTCATCCAGTAACTGATGGAAACAGAGGCAGAGATGTGCTTCGGAGCATTGAACTGAGCTCCCAAAGTTCAGCTAAGAGTGGGAGTAATGAGAATATGAGCTGAGGGGTCCAGACCATGATAGAGACACCCACTGAAACAGTTCACCTGAGCTAATGGGAGCTCACCAACTTCAGCTGGACAGGGAAGGAAACAGCATAGACCAAGCTAGTCCCTCTAAATGTAGTGACAGTTGTGTGTCTGGGGCTGACTGTGGGGCCCCTGGCAGTGGGACAAAGATTTATCCCTACTGCTTGTACTTGTATTCTGGGAGCCTATTCTCTTTGGATGGATATCTTGCTCAGCCTGAATATAGTAGAGAGGGCTTTGGAGCTTCCCCAAAGAAATGTGCCTTATCCTCTCTGAGGAGTGGATGGTTGCAGGGGTGGAGGGGTAGATGGAAGGAATGGGAGGAGGGAAGGGAGTAGGAGCTAGAATTGGTGTGTAAAATGAAGAAAGATAGTTTGCTTTCTTTTTAAAATTAAATAAAAAGTGGAAAAAATGAAATGTTTGGTGGTAGTAATACTGCCTTTAATCCCAACACTCAGGAAGAAGAGGCAGGTGGATCTGGGTGAGTTCAAGGTCAGTCTGGTCTATAAGTGTTAGTTCCAGGACAGGCTCCAAAACTACAGTGAAACCCTGTCTTGAAAAAACAAAAAAAAAATCATAAAATTTGCAGGCTAATTGGAATGAACTAGAAAGAAACCATCCTAAGTGAGGTATCCCAAACCCGGAAAAACAAATATATTAATTTATATGTAGATATTAGTTGCTAAGGCAATGATGACCAAGCTATAGAACCACAAAGGGTAGACTAAGGGACTAGAGGGAACAGACAGATCTTGTTAGGAAAGGGAAATAGAACAGATATAGATGGAAGGTGATGCTGGAATGAGATCAAGTAGGAAAGTGAGAATAGGGAAGAGACAGCTAAAATTAAGGGCCTTTTGAGAGGTAGTATGTAAACCTAATACAGTACAAATTTCCTAAAATATACACATATATGAAAGTGATCTAAATGAAATCACCAAACAGTGGGGAGACAGAGTCTCAGTTGCCCATCTCTTACCATGAAATGATGCCTCTGGTACCAGAATTGGCTTACATCTAATTGAGTTCTTGGCTGAAGGAGCCCCTATATGAATTACATTACATTACAATTACATTACAATCCAGGCTATTTTCAAGACTATAAGTTGCTCTTCACAAACTGACAGCAAGGCCCCATTGCTGAAAACAATGCCTACACAACTCTTTGAACATGGTGATGTCCAGCCAGTGTCTATATACAGCCTTCACCCCCATATTATAGCATCTTTGGTACAGGAAAGTATTCTGCATGTCCTCAAAAGAGAAACATAAACACCAAGCTAGTCACAAACCCTTTATCTACAACGGTGTACTACCTGCAAAATATGCTAGGGCAATGGTGGCACAAAGTTTGTGGGAATAACAGACCAATAAATGATTTGACTTAAGTCCCACTACAGAAGATGGAAATCATGCCCACCCAACACTGTTTGAGTGACCAAAAAGCTAAGACTAGATAGGATTCAAGGACCTAGGGAAAAAGTAAATAATACTGAGAGGGGAGGCAGGAAGAGTGAAAATGTAATGAGAAAATGATTCCTAATGATATTCAGCTACACTCATTGCTCAGCCATCATCAGAGACGCTTCCTCCTTGCAGCAGGTGAGAACAAATATAGAGACACATAGACAAAAATCACATAGAGTGAGAGACCCAGAAACACTCAGCCCTAAATGGGAAGTCTCCATCAAATCTCGACTCAGGGCATAGGGAACCCTGAGGAAGAAGAGTCAGAAAGTGTAAGAACCAGAGGGTACTGAAGACACCAATGGAAGCAAAGTCCATAGGAATACACAGAGACTGAAGCAGCAGGCACAAGGCCTGCACAGGTCTGCATTTTTAAGGGATTCCTGAGTGTGAATGACTGGGTCTCTGATTCCTTTGCCTTCTCTTGAGTTCTTTTCCTTCTGTTGGTTTGTCTCGTCTAACGCTGATGTGCTGGCTTTTGTTTCATAATATATTGTTTTATTCTTAAATTCATTAATGAAAGAAAGAAAAGAAAGAAGTGAAAGAAGGAAGAAATGGAAGGAAGGAGGGAAAGAAGAAGAGAGGGAGGGAGGGAGGGAGGGAGGGAGGGAGGGAGGGAGGGAGGGAGGGAGGGAGGGGAAAGAAGGAAAGGAAGAAAGAAACCTAGCCACTAGAGGTGAGGTTAACTGAAATATCATTTACACATGTTAGGAGAGAGAAAATGAGTCATCTCCAATGGAGTGGCACTAGGCGTATGAAACATTCCAGGGCAAGTCTCATGTTCAAAAACAGTTAACCAACATATAATGGACCCATAGGTTTTTCGTGTGCTTTTATTTGGATACAGTTAGGAAGGTTTGTTTTGTTTTTTTTTGTTTGTTTGCTTGGAGGTGGTGCTTTGTTTTCTTGGTTTGGGGCATCCTGTTGTTGCATTGGTTATTTTGTTTTTTGAGAAAGAACTTAAGGTAAGGTGAGTAGAGATGGGGGAGAGGATCTGGAAGGACTTGGGCGAGGGAAAGAATATGACCAAGATATATTTAAATTTAAAAACTTCTTAAATTATAAAAATATATAAAATAACAAACCTATTAAAATTTTTAATCATTTCAAAACATTAAGATATGTTAAAACATAATTAAATTTGCTTCTTACCATAAACAACATATTTCAGTTGAACATTTTTAACAATTTCTTCCACAGTCGGTTTGTACTCGAGGAAACATGTATAAACCCCAGTCATGGTCTCCTCAAAGTTCTGAAATATGAGACTTCCTGTGGATGTCACTTGTGCAGTGGTGTTTTCTAATAAAGGTATAATATACAGATACTTAAATCACAATAGGGAGACAAAATACCAAACAGTTAAAGCAACCTAAAAACCCTCAAAATCTATGTTTGCTAAAAGGAGTTCATAGACAAAGTTAATCATTGTACTTGATGCTTATTATCAGTAGATGCTAGGACAACCTTAAAATCAAATTTCTACCAACCAAAGTTCATTAATTGTGTGACTGTCTAAGTCAATGATTCTCAACCTGTAGGCTGCAATCCCTTAAGAAATAACCTTTCACAGGGGTCACATATCAGATATTTACATCACAATTCATAACAGTAGCAAAATTACACTTATGAAGTAGCAATGAAAATAACTTTACAGTGGGGGATCACCACAACATGAGGAACTATATTAAAGGGTCATAGCATTAAGAAGGTAAGAGTGACATGTGGACATAAAGCACTTCTAGTATTCTCCTTGCATTAAAAGAGATGCTATCATGTTGTAGAATATTATTTTAACTGACAAAGATGTGATGCTGTGGAATATTACTTTAGCTGTGTAAAGGTGTGTGACTTTTGTTTATGTTGCATTTGTTTAATTATGTAAAGATGTGTTGCATCTGTTTCACTTTGCCTGCCTAAGGCACCTGATTGGTCTAATAAAGAACTAGGCATAGAAAGGACAGGCGGAGCTGGTAGGCAAAAAGAATTAGTAGTAGAAGAAATCTAGCCTCAAAAAGAAAGAGAGAAGAGGAGGAAGAAAGAACAAGAAGAAAGAGAAAGACAAGCCTCGGGCACGAAACCTGGCAGTCCTAACCAGACATGAGAAGCAGTCAAAGTAAGACATACAGAAATAAAAGTAAAAAATTCCAAAGCAAAAGGTAGATAAAACATGTTAAGTTAAAAGACCTAGCCAGAAATGAGCCTAAACTAGGCCAAGCATTCAAAACTAATAAGTCTCCATGTCATCATTTGGGAGGTGGCTGGAGGCCCAAAAGAAAAAGCCTGGTACACTATCAGAAATACATTACTATTTATGAAAATTTATACACACATATATGCAGTGCATGTATGCATAAACAACATGTATATACAAAATATATATTTTATATAGTGTATTTATTTAACTATATCATAAATAATATTGATATAGCTTAACTTATAGTATGAGTTGTAAAGTCTTAGAATTTGCACATGAAATGGTATATCCAAAACAAAATCTATTACACTATAGCCATTAACAGCTAAGAATTCTTATCACTACATGAAACAGTACATGGAAGAGTGAGTTGTTTCTACTGCTGAGGGGTAAGGAAGAAGATAAATAGAAAATTATTATCAAACACAGTGTTGATGTGTTAGAAAAAAGAATGTGATATGGGATCCCTCTTGGCTTCAGCATAAGTATTATACTGGGAGAAAACTATGCTATCAAATGGAGAGAAAACCTCTTTCTGAGATATTAAGATATAGATGTGAAGGCTTCATTCTCTCACAAATGTACAACCATGGGTAACCACTTCTTTTGAAGTCAAGTTTATTTGTTCAGTGAAGAATGACAAGATATAGCTGCCAAACTCACAGGGTTGTTCAATTCAGAAAATATTAAAAATCATTAAAAGACAAGTTGTTATTCTAAAAGTTCATAACTACAGTTTTATGTCATAAAACTATAAAATAATAATATTTTCTTAATTAAGAATTGAATACTCCATTATTTAGAATTTAAAGTATTATCTCAGAAAATGACTAAATATCTTTTTCCATTTTAAGTAAGTGATTTAATACTTATATATTTTTAGAAATAATTCTTTGATGTGCGAGGGTCATCTGTCTATGTGTTACTTTCATTGGTTAATAAAGAGACTGCCTTGGCCTTATAAGAGGGCAGAAAATTAGGTGGGTGGAGTAGACAGAACAGAATGCTGGGAAGAAGGCAATGAGGCAGTTGCCATGCTTCTCCTACCCAAGACGGACGGTGGTTATAATCTTCCCAATAAGCCACCACTTTGTGGTGGTACACAGATTATTAGAAATGGGTTAATCAAGATGAGAGAGTTAGCCAATAAGAGGCTAGAACTAATGGGCCAGACAGTGTTTAAATGAATAGTTTGTGTGTCGTTATTTCCAGGGCTAAGCTAGCTGTGCGGGAGCCGGGTGGGACAAAAAGCAGGCCTGCCTGCAGCTCCTTCTACAGTTCTTAAAACCGAAGAAAATGCCAGAATGCTCTTAGCACTGACATTTTTTGTTATATGAAAAGCCCTACTGCATATTTTGAAGGAGAAATGACCCACATTGACCTTACATAGAGAGTTATGCCTTGAGATCTCCCATTACTATACCCTGGATGAAGCTGAAAAATGTAACATAAAATAATATATTTCTGTTTAATTGCCTACTTGTTCATGAATATCTTCTGATTAAAGATTACATACTTATCTTAACATACTATTTTTAAAGCTATTAATAAATTAAGCATAGTATTTAAGAAAAAAGCATAGTATAATAACATTTTTATAATAATTTTAAATATCACATCATCAGTGAAGCTATATATTCCTTAGTAATAATTCAAAATTAAATTTTCCTATACCAGAAGTGTCAATAAATATATATATTTACATATGTTCATGTATTTTTATTATATATGTTGTATTTGGCACAGATAATATAAGAAAGTAAGAACTCATATTAGAATATCTATTAGCAGCCAACTTATGTTTTATATACTATTCTGTAAAGAAAATCTCGCTATTAGTGAGTAGAACCTTTAGAGAAAACTATAAATTAAGTCAGTTATCAAATTCAAGATTTAGAATAAAGATGAAATAGACAATACACAATAAAATAGGTAAAATAGGTACATAGCAAAAGAAGGGTAATGAAATCAGAAACAGTGATTTTTTTTCACATAAAATGGAACAGCTGAATTTTTTGGTATCTTCATCCTTAATAAAGACAATAGGAAACATTTATATTATCAACATTACTATATCAACTCCACAAGACTACAAAGAAAATATTTGAATAAATGATAAATGTATTTAGATACAAATATTCTTTTAAGTAAATCTGAGATATATCTATTTAATTATGATAATAAATAAAATCCTACCTGAAACAATTTTTCCTTTTGGCCCATGCCATTGGAATGATGGGTCTACCAGTTCAGTGTTTCTCAGTCGCTGAGTTACACAAAGCACATGTGGACTCTTTTGATGGAGCATGACATATACGCTCACTGAAAATACAATATTAAAATGTTCCAGTAACATTTTATGCTCTTTAACTGCCTAATAATACCTTACATTTTGTAGCTTGTGTTATATTCTCTGACATTTCTTTGGGTTATTGCCCCTATTACTTTATGATAATTTAATATCACTGTCTCCATCTAATTACATTAAGAAGCATACAGTGTATTTTATTTGACTGTGTGTGTACATGTACATTTAGTCACCCATGTGTAAGGGTGTGTGTCCTAAACATGAATGTAATGTGTTGGTCCTTTTTATTCATAGCTCACATATACTGACCCATTTTAATCTCAGAGTATATAACTGTAGTGACAGTATTAAGATAATTCTCTAGCTGGACTTCATATGCTTTTCAAAGACATCAAATATAAAAATAGTATGCATCTATGTATGTATGTATGTATATGTATTCATATTTACATGAGAGGAATAATATATTACTTACAATAACATAGCATAGTATACTAGATAAAAATAACATGGTTAAAAAGTTAAGAAATATATACAGTGGTTGACTTTTAAACATGCATTTTGTCAGACTCTGCTTAAAATAATTATGATAACCAAAACAAAGATAGTTTTAGGAGATTCAGCAGAAGCACAATCAAAGACTCAGTTGTTCTGAATGTCCTCAGAACTAAGCTTTCCGAATAACCCACCAGTAACTGCATGCCAACCCTTCTAATTAACCCAACCAAGAGTTCTTTGAGCCAGTAAAATAAAAATTATCTTTGGTAATCAAATTTCTTGTCAGTAAAAAGTTTTTATATTTTACAACAATATGTTTGTTTTTACCACAAATGTTCTATCATGAGATAGAAAAATAATGATTTATTTTACCCATGAAAATGTTTTTCTTCTTCTTCAATATTTTAATTAAATCTATCTATAGGCTGCCTTCCTATTATAAGTCTGATTGATTTTATATTTACCTAATAACTATTAGATCCAATTTGCAAACATTTTCTTAGGATCCAAATGATTATGTTTATAAATATAACCATGTATAATTTTCTTATATTAGCCCTTTACTTTTTACTAATTTAAGCACTTACAATCATTAAATATTTAATATTCAACATGATAGTATAATAAATAAACTAATCGCTTAGGATCATAATGGCCACATGAAAAGAACTTGGTATGTTTTTTTCCTATAACCTATCTTTGTAAGAATGTGTGCTTTTCCAGGTCCGTTCTCTTACATTTTGGTAAGAGAGAAAGCAGAAAAATGCATTATGAACTGCACTAAAGTTGACTTTAATAGATACAAGTCTAATAAAAAATTTAATAAAATCTAGTTTAGAAATTTTCCAGCTAATTTTATATACTATAAATTAATATAATTTTATCTATAATTAGATTTATTTATTATATTTTATGATATAATTATATAAAATATAAAATTACTCAGAGTAAGTTAAAGTTTTATATGATTCTCTTTATTCATAACACCGGTCTTTATTTTCATTATTTTCTTACAAAGTTATTTGCTAAAATCTAAGCATTATATGTTCCAAAGGCGACTTTTCATTCTAATCAACATTCCATTGCTCTTGTATGGTCTCATTCAACCACTCCTGCTCTTCTCTTATTTCTGTTCTCCTTCCCTCAGTTTAAGGTCTTTCCGTCCTCTTCAATAAGTACTCACACTCTTCATGCCTTGGCATGACTCATGACTGCTCTCTTCTCCAATGTGTATCTTTTGCCCGTATCTCCCTATCCCTTTCCATATCCTGTGTTCTTTCCAGACCACAGCAGTCCTCAGGGTTTCCCCTTTCTAATATTACTCTAGTAACTACCTAGTTTCTCTTAACCTTTGGAAGGTGAGTGCAAGTCTATGATTCTGCATAGTTTCTTTGACAGGATCTGATGCCATTATTCTGACTTTCCTGTCAGTATCCCACTAAAGTTTGTGATTTCCATCCCAGCAGCTTCAACTGAGTTCAACAGTCTCTCAGCACTATCAACAGACCAAATTAAATATTAGAAGACATCAACATTCAAAATGAATATAACATTTTCAAAGTAAACAGACATTGACTACTAATGAAACAACACCTCTGTGAAGAACATCTTCTGACTCCAGAAAAAAAGTATAGTTAGAACATACTGTTACAATCAGGGGAATATACAGTTTCAATATTTTCTGTAACATTTTATCAAGAACCCAATAAGCTGTCAATTCATAATTGTGTTTTATTTCGTAAAAAAAATATTTAATGTTTATTTATTTCAGGTGAATACACGGGAAAAAAACCTGGGAGTGAAGAAACCCACATTTCTTATGTATTCATCAGTTCACAGTATTACATACACTTCTCCAAAGTTATCAATAATAACCGATCAACACTTGCCAATGTAATCATATATGACATCTGAAGTGAAGGCTCTAAAGATTTCCTTATTCTTTGGAACTATACTCAAAAGAAAACTCTTCCTTGACTAATAAAACTTTACTTTTGTATCAGAGCCTATTGACAATAAGATGAGGTCCCTTATGAAACAGTTCTCTACAATGTGAAGACAGACAATATGGTCTGTGGTCCTTCATGTACAGAGTGTGTTGAACAGAGAAGAATGCTACTTGTGCAAGTCCTAATCTGCTATAATGTAAAGGTTAACAGCTTTTCCAATAGTAAAAAGCTCTTCCATGGCAAGGAAGAGAACACACCACAGCTGACAGGTCCCAAAGTGAATGCAGTACAGGTACAATGTTTGAATACAATTAGTTACCATATTTAGAATATAATTAACACAGCTGCAAACAATATACCAGTAGTGTTTGTTTTCAGAATATTTTAATACTGATTTAAAATACACATTGTATATATACATATATATGAAGTCTAATTAAGGAAAATTAAAGAAAGCAACAATGAAAATTATTGAGATACAAGAAGTTTCAAGTAGATCTACCTCAATCCAGCTATACCACTCTTGGACATATACCCAAAGGACTCTACATCCTACATGGAGACACTTACTCAACCATATTCATTTCTGCTGTGTTCATAATAGCCAGAAACTGTAAACAGCCTACATGTCCATCTGTGGATGAACAGATCAAAAAAAAAAAAACATGGTACATTTTACACAATGGAATATTACTCAGCTGTTAAAAAACCAAAATCATGAAATTCACATGCAAATGGTTGGGGGAAGAAAAAAATACCCTAAGTAAAGCTAACCCAGGCCTAAAAAGACAAATATGGTATGTATTCTCTTATAAAAGGGTGCTGGCTGTTAAGTCTTTGATAAGTTAGGTATCTAGTAAGGAACTGGTGTGGGAAGGGAAATAGACTGTATAATTAATATATAATTAGAGATGGATTGGGAGTGATAAACAGAGAAGGAGGAGAATAGGTGGTAATGGAGGGAATATGAGGAGGAACAGCCAAAACTAAGGATCATTTGACAGTTCATATAGAAATCCATTACAGTAGAAGCTTCTTAAAATATATACATATATGAAAGAAATCTAAATTGAATCACCAAATAACAGGAGAGTCAAAGCCTGAACTAATTATCTCTCGCCACCAAATGAAACCTCCAGTGTAAGGAAAAGGATACATCTAATTGAGTTCTTGGCCAAAGGGTTCCCATGGAACCCCACAAACAAACCAGAGTATCGTCCCAAAGCTAATAATTGCTCTCAACAAACTGATGGTAAGATCATATTGATGAAGATAGCACCTAAAGAACTCAGTAAACATGGAGAAGTCACACTGCTGCCTATCTGGAGCCTTCACCCTTACTAACTAGTGGACGGTGTTCAGAATGCTATCAGAGGAGAAAGCTAAGTACCAATCCATCTGGAAACCCTGAAATCTACAACGGTAAGCTGCCTGCATGGTACACTAGAGCAACAGTGGCACAAAAGTCTGAAATAACCAACCACTATCTGATTAGACTTAAGACCACTCCATGAGATGGAATCCATGCCTGACACTGTTCAGGTGTCAAGAACTTGAGACTAAACATGCTACAGACCTAGGAAAATACCAAATGATATTGTTCTGATAAAGGAATATTGCAATGAAATGACTCCTAATAAAATTACGGCATACTCATAGATTGGTTTCTTGCTCAGTCATCATCCCAGAAGCTTCCTCCTACAGTAGATGGAAACAAATACAGAGACCCACAACTAAGCAATAGTGAGAGACCTTGAAACACTCAGTCCTAAATGAGATCTCTCTCTCTAAAGGCTCTCTACTCAGGGCAGAAGAGGAAGCAGAAAGATTGTAAGATCCAGTAGGGATGGAACACCATCAAAAAAAAGGTCTTTTAAAATAAAACAGGGCAGACACACATATAAACTCAATGAGACAGTGTCAGCATGCACGGAGCCTGCACAGGTCGAAGCCAGATGAAGGCCAAAAGTACTGAGCGGACACAAGCCCACAACCCTAACCCAGAAGCTATCTCCAATTAACAACTGCACACAAACGAAAATTCACTTTCTCCAATCAAGTCTCACTAGGTATACAAACCATGTTTAAGGTCAGGTCCCATGCCCAGCAGTAGATTGTCAACACAGAACTTCTCAGTAGTATGTATGGAGATTTTTTTTTTTTTTTTACCTTGTATTTCTTGGTCTTGGCATTGTTTCGTCTTGTTTTTTTTTTTTCCTGGTGTTTGTTTGTTTTTGTTTTACATTACAAATCTTTTTCTTATATTTTGTGTTTTTATGGGATTTTTCTGTGTGCAAATATATGTGTCTTTGTATCTGTATTTGTTTCTTATGTTTTCCCCCCTTTGGCCATTGTTTCCTATTTGTTTGTTTTGTTCTATTCTGGTTTGCTTGTTATTGTTGTTTAGTTGCCTAAAGAGAGAAGAAAGAGTGTGGATTTTGGTGGGTAGGGAGCATGGGAGGACTTGGGGAAAGAAAACAACAAATCAGGAAAAATCTATTTTCAACAGAAATTAAAATTATTAAAAAGTTACACTAAGTAAATCACTGGATGTATGAACAGATGTATGAACAGATAAGTGAGTCTAGAGAAAATGGATATATGATAGAAATGGTATCTTTAGTTGCTAGGAAAAAATACACATCACTATTAATTATGATCAAAAATTTAAATTAATATATAGTCAGTTATAATTACATTTATATTTTATATTAAATACAAAAGTAAATTTCAGGTATACTAATGTTCTAAAGTCAAACCATTATTTAACTAAAATCTGAAGCAATATTTTTTATCTCTGAGTTATCAAAAAAGCTTTAATAGTAGTACACATAAAATATTAATTCCTTAAATACTAATAATTTCTGTTAATCTTATATAACCCAAGATAAATTAACAGATTTAACTTTAAGAAGTTCCTTGCACTAGGGATAAATCCTGGTCCTACTGCCAATGGCCCCACAGACTGCCCCAGCCACACAACTGGCTTTTTGGAGCCCATTTTCTTTGGAGGGAAACCTGCTCAGTATAGATATAGTGGGGAGGGCCTTGGTCCTACCTCAAAGTGATGTGCCAGACTTTGTTGACTCCCCATGGGAAGCCTCCCCATTTCTGAGGAGTGGATGGGGGGGTGTAATTGGAGGAAGAGGGAGAAGAGGAGGGGAGAGAGCGGGAACTGGGATTAGTATGAAAAATAAGAAAATAGTTTAAAAAAATAAATAAAAATACAAAGAAGTCAGTTGCAAAACCAAAAATAATGCACTGGAATCAACATTACAAATAAATATAAATGCAAATAACTTCTATAAAAATACAATTGAGCAAAGTTATAGACAAAGGCAACTTAACGTTTAACTTAGAAGTGGAAGTGCTGAGTAATTTTTTGCCCTGTGAGGATGTGAGCAGATGGGCTGTACTAGGCTCAGGACTAGAGCTCTCAGTGGGGTGGGAGTGACAGAATAACCACGTTCTAGGATACTGAACCTCTACCTCTGGATGAAAAGGAACCAGAGTTCTTTAACTAAGCATGAAGACAGACATATAAAATACTATTAATCACACACACACCACAAAATGAATTGAAAGAAGGTATAAAAAAATGTAAATAAACTCTCAGTGAAGAAAATTAATGTCTAAGTGGGAAAAAAACTAACCACTGAAGATAAAAAATACAAAGTAAACACATTAAACAGGATCACAGACAGGGCAAAAAAAAAAAATGGCCAAGGAACAGATGCTGAAAAATTAAGCAACACAGGAAGGAAACTCAAGGCATGATCAGGAAAACACAAGATAGCCAGATAATAGGAAGCCTCAGTACTTAAAACTTAAAATACTAAAAACTTAAAATAAAAAACTAAAGCTTGGTAATTAAAAATAAACAACCTTTTATATAGACATTGCCTGCAGAATTCTAATGTTAATTTTAAGAATAAATTTAATACTTTCCAATAAAATGAGCCAATAAAAAGGAGGGCAGTTACACAAAGAAATTATAATCCAATCATAAAAGTTGCCGCTGATGAAAACAGCAGAGAAATGAACACTAAAAATCATCCCATTTATGACACTGATCGAAATAAGAATCTTAAGAACTCTGGAAATTAATCAAAGACATTTAACAACTTAGAAAATATTAATACAAGAAAAGCAACAGTGAGGATCCAAGAGCTCAGACATTGATGCAGAGTGCTGTTTCCTGCAGGTTTGCCTTCAGTGCAGATGTCAATACTCTTTCCAATGTACTTTGGAGATGCCCATAAGCTTAGATAGGGCTGATCCTAGGGACAGAAACCAGTGGCCTTCTGGTGCAAGTAGAAACCTTCCCAGCCCATTTATTAATTGTTTTGAGGTCTGTGAAGAATTTTGCTGGAATTTTGATGAGTATTGCACTGAATTTGTAGATTGCTTTGGGACCGAAACTGAAAAGCTTCTGTAAAGCAAAGGACATGGTCAACAAGAAAAAATGGCAGCCTACAGAATGGGAAAAGATGTTCACCAACACTACATCAGACAGAGGGCTGATCTCCAAAATATACAAAGAACTCAAGAAATGGGTCACCAAAAGAACTAATAATCAATAAAATATGGGGTACAGACCTAAACAGAGAACCCTCAACAGAGGAATCTAAAATAACTGAAAGACACTTAAAGAAATGTTCAAAATCCTTAGCCATCAGAGAAATGCAAATAAAACAACTCTGAGATTCTATCTTACACCCGTAAGAATGGCCAAGATCAAAAACACTGATGACTACTTGTACTGGAGAGGATGTGGGGTAAAGGGAAAACTCCTCTATTGCTAGTGGGAGTGCAAACTGGTACAGCCCCTTTGTATATTAACAAGGTTATTGCTCAGAAAACTAGGAAACAACCTTCCTCAAGACCCAGAAATGCCATTTTGGGGTATATATCCAAAGGATGCTCAATCATACTACAAAGACATGTGCTTAACTATGTTTATAACAGCATTGTTTGTCACATCCAGAACCCGGAAACAACCTAAATGCCCCTCAACCAAGGAATGGATAAGAACAATGTGATATATTTACACAATGGAATACTACACAGCAGAAAAAATAATGACATTTTGAAATTTGCAGTCAAATGGATGGATCTAGAAAACATCATTTTGAGTGAGGTAACCCACACCCAGAAAGACAAATATCATAGGTACTTACTCATAAGTGGCTTTTAGACATAAAGCAAAGAAAACCAGCCTACAAATCACAATCCAAGAGAACCTAGACAACAATGAGGGCCCTAAGAGAGACATACATGGATTTAA